TCTTTCCTTTTTCTCAGTTTGTTTAACCTTACTTGGAGGTAGTTAGTATCTCTATCCTTGTGTCAGATGTGCTTGAAGTTGACCCAAAGCTTCAAAAATAATTAGAAGGAAGAATGGGTAGATGAATGGGCAGAACTAAAAGACAGTGTGACTGCTGCTGTCCATCTGCACACATTGTTGACCAGTTGAGACTGAGCAGAATGTATGGGTTCTAGAAGCTTTTTACACTTCAGTACACCTGCATACCTTCTGTAAGTTAAAAATATACCACTGATATTACGTTATTGAGACTCAGACCAAATGAAATTTAAAATAATTTTGCTTAGCATATTAATATTGCATTTCCAGTTAGCTAAAACAGATTATATGTGTTCAACTTAGCTGTAATTAAAATAGAAAAAACAACGTTACACCTCTTGAAATCACACTCCACTCTGGCTGTTTTGGCTAGCACGTCAGCTTCCTTTGCAAAGCAGATATCACCTCCTTTTACCAGTGTCCCATGGCTGGCCAGTTTGTTTTAGAATCACTTTTAATACTTTTCAATCATTTTTCTTGTTCTCTACATGCACAATAGGGCTTGGGGTATACTTTCTCTAAACAATGGTTATAAAAGTAAAAAGATTTTTGATTAATATCTACCCATCAAAGGACCGACAACCAATCTCATAACTTCTTTCATAGACTTGTCAATGTCTCTATAGTCCAGACAGGATTTTTATTGCTACTTCAAATAGGCAAATTTCCATTTTCCATATTTCTTTTCTCTCACTCACTTTCCCGTGTTATTACTTTTTTTTAGGTCCGGATCATCTATCATATTTCTGATTTGTCTGAATTTGTTGAAGCAGATAATTATCAGTCACAAGAGGAAATTGCATACATCCTAGGAAATACTTGAATTCTGGGGGGGTTTTGTGCCAACATGGTTTATGGTTGCATTGCTACAAACCTCAAAGCATATATTGAAAAACAGCCCTACTTACTTCTGTCTTTTATTTCTTCTCATAGTGGTATAATAGATACAGATAGTGAGAGAAGAGTTTGCTAATTTTTTCTTTTAATGTTGTTTTGAATATATCAGTTATTGCAGTTGTTAGCCTGCTTGTAATTATCCAGATTGCTTTTATCTCCTCTTTTTTAAGCAGAAACTTTCATATTTTCTAGTCATATGGCACCATCCCCAGCTTTGTAGCTTTATTAAGAAGCAGTTTTACATAACAGCTTTTTCATAATTCAGTCACAGAAATTATCTGATCCCCATCCAAAAGTAGTGCATTGATCCTTAGTTTTATTACTGCTTTCCTTTCCATACCTTATTCTTATTTGTCAGAAGTCTCAAAATTATTGTTCTCAATCAAAAGATAGACTTTGGACCCTACTTAGGTTGATTTTAATCTGTTTAAACCCCTTTTGTAGTTTATATAAATCCCTTATTTTACTTCTGATTCTGTAGTTTGTCCAAAAAAAGCTACTGTTATTTCAATTTTCTTTGCGAAGGCTGACTCAACCTTTTGGTAGTTCACATTTTGTTCTTATATCTCCTGACTGGGAAGATGTAGGTAAGTTTCATGAACAGTCCTTTCTGCCAACTCCATGACTTTTTCTACCTTATTTCCTGATTTCTGTTTGAAGCCTTTTGCTTAAAAGTCCTAGTCCCTTGTTAGGCTCTGCCGTTAATTGCTTTTAAGCAGCAGTGAGATGGGAAATCTTTGAGTTCTCAATACTCGACATTTGTCCTAACCACTACGTAGTCCTCAAAAGAATTTGGCAAGTAGCATCTTCTGGTGACCGCTAATATTTTTTCTGCAGCCAAACAAAGTCCTAAGCATCAAATAAACAAATTAGTTCAACTACAGAAAACAAGGACTTTCTCATTCTGAAGTGGGGGCAAGATCTGCATTGCGTCTGCCTAATCATATCTTCTCAGAGATGTACGTAAAGTATCTGAGAAAAAAAAAGCATATGGTTGATATGCACGTAGACAACTCTAATAGGAGAATTTTATTCTAGCCCCGCTGCATTCTGCCCCAGGGCCCTTTCAGCAAGGCTGCTCCCCAGCCACACAGATCCCAGCCTGTACTGGGCTTTTGGTTATGTTGTCCCAGGTGCAAGACTGCACTTGTCTTTGTTCAGCTTCATACTGTTCTTGCTAGCCCACTCTTCCAGCCTGTCCAGGTCTCTCTGTAAGATGACTCTCCTTTCTGACACGTCCACCTCACGACTCAGTTTAGTGTCATCAGCACACTTGGTGAGGGTGCTTTCAATCCCATCATCCAGGTAATTTTTGAAGATGTTGAACAGTGTGGGGCCCAGTATCAATCCCTGGGGGACCTCACTTGTGACAGGCTGCCAACCCAAGTAAAAATCATTCGTCACCACCCTCTGAGCATGACGTGTTAGCCAATTTCCTACCCATCTCACAAACTACACATCCAGTTTGTAACTTGCCAGCTTGTCTAGGAGGTAACTGTGGGAAACTGTCAAATGCTTTGCTGAAGATGGGTGTGATGTTTGCCCTCTTCCAGTTGTTATCCCCTGATCTCTATTACTTTTCAAAGATTATAGACACTGGCCTTGTAACAATGCCAGCCACTTCTCCTCACGTGCTAGGGTGGTTTGTTTCATAGAAATCTTTTTTCTAATGGGAAGTATATCAACAGTTGTCACAGAGAAGGTATAATCTCCGTCACTACAATTCTTTTAAAAATCGGTTATTTAGACACTTGTCTTGTCCTTTCAAGCTGAATTATGAATGGCAGAAGATTGTAGTTAATCCTGCTCTGTAGTGAAGGGCGATGGATACATTAGCTCTTGAAGTCTTTTCCAGCCCTATGATTCTGCGTGTGAAATCTGCATTTATGCTTGTGGTAGTGAGTGCATCTGCTTTGCATTATTTATACTTGCCAGCAATACTGACCTATGAAGGTAATCCAGCAGTGGCACAACTACGTCATACTTCTATTGTTCCAAGAGGGATTTCCAAAGAAGAGGGAGCAACAAAAGGGAGCTTCACCTATGAGAAAGCATCAGATCAAACCTTTTGGAGGAATCCGTTGCACTTACAAATTAAAACTGATCTCCAAATATCCAAATTTCCAATTTGGATATTCCAAATATCAGTGATACACCAAATTGTAGCCCAAGTTTTTTGACGTACTTTAGTGCTTGTTATTAGCCCTGCCTATAATTTATATACATTCTAAAGATGTTTCTCTTTTTGATTTTTGTATGTAGGGGACTGTGGTAAACATAGAGGAAGTTGGTAAATTTGTAAAAACACGGCCTGCTAGAGGAAAAAAGCAGTTGAAAATTTACCACTTGTTCCCTTTTGTATTTCAGGTATTGGTGGTAATCTAGTAGCTATTCAAGCTAGCAGAATTTCTACCTACCTCCATTTGCATAGCACTCCTGGAGAGCTACCAGAAGAAGCCAAGGGTTGCTATTATCCATGCAGAACTTATTGTGGTACAGGTATGTATTGTTCAGTTAATTGTTAAAACTACTGTCTCGTGTCTCCTCTTTTCCCCCATATGCCAGACTGTACCACCAGTGAGAAATGGCAACAAATTGAACTGTTGTATGCAGTTCAAAGGCAGCAGAGGCTTGGCAGTTTCCTTTGCCTGCAGCTGCTTGCCTCTGAGAATCACAGGGAACTCCATGCAGGAGATGATGCGTAGAGAGGATCACAGTAACCCTGGCAAGGGTGGAAGATAGGAACTGATGAGGCAGGACACTATGATACTCACTCAGAAGGATTTCAACCTTCATCTTTCCTTAGCTTGGTTACCTGCTCCTAACCTGTGTCAAATATTTAACTCCAGAAGTTCAAACCAATCTCTTGTTAGGACCAAACTTTATATTTAGCTTTATTACTAACCCAAGTCCCTGCTTTCCCATTTGCTCTTTTCTTTCTAGATTCTTGCTTCACAGCTTATTCCTCCGCTATATTGCCTACTTTCCTAATAATGTAGTAACTGTGATGAAATGCGATGTGTCAACAGCATGTATTACACTTTCATATTTATGAAATGAATTGGAAAAGGTGAGAAAATGGGATTACTTTTTAGAAATGAAAGGTACTTTTGAGGATGTCTTGAATATGGTGTCCAAAACATCCTCCTTCCTAGGAAGGCTTTAGGAGGTCACTGCAGCTCCAAAAAAGTAGAAGGTATTGCATGAGTACAGAATGAAAGCAGATAGTTTGCACTTTCTTCTGGAAGGACCCTGCTAAACTTTTCTGACAGACACTAGGGGTGGCCTTTTTTCCCCATGTGAAAATCCTCATGGAGTCTTTTAGCAGAAAATAATGCCTGCTGTTCCACAATAGTCAATACTGTGGAATTCCAAGACTGATTTTTATATTAAAGTTAATGAAAATCTGATATAGTACTTGAAGAGTTTAACTGAATTTTGGATTTTTTTGTTGTAGGAGTAAATAACAAATCAGCCCAAGTTCTGCTGCTTTTGGTGATTCCTGGACACCTGATTTTCTTGTACACTATCCACTTAATGAAAAGCGGCCACACTTCCTTAACTCCTATCTTTATAGCAGTATATTTGTTTGCAGCTCTGCTACAGGTAAGAACAAGTACAACTTGAAAACGCTTGTATAAAATCAAGGTTTTGAAGAAAATCATGTTTTATCTGACTTCTGAAATCTTGTGAATAGTACAAGAAGATATGGGTTAATACAGGCTTTCAGCACAGTTTTGAAGTAACAGATTATCTCCACATGTATACAGTTTACACAGGTGTATCTGTATTGTGAGTGCTTTTCAGAAGACACATGACTGCATTATTTCCCAGTCATGCATCTTGCATTTTCTCTTTCACATGTTTCTTCAACCATTGCATCTAAAACCCCCATCATTTTAATCAACTAGAGGGGAGATGGAGAGAAGGAAAAGCAGCATTTATGAATAATAAATAAACCAAGGAAAACTCTCGAAGAAATCTCCTAAAGTGGTTCACATTACTGTTTCAGTTAACATAGTCAAAAAAACAGTAGATGAGAATGTTATGGCTTGCTTCGTGCATTCTTAGTATTGAAACAAGTCTGACAGCGAAGAAACCGTACAAGAAATTGTAATTGCAGTAATTGTCAAACATTGTTACATTATTTTGTCTGGACTTACCTAGTTCATACCCAGCAAGGGCAGTTCTTGAAAGATACCTTTTGAAATAGCAGTGTCTTAAGGTGAAATAATTTCACTTAGAGAAATCAGTAATACAAAATGAAATGTTTTTATTAAATCCACAGCCAATTTTTAGCTAAAAGCTGTCTGAAATTACAATAATGTTTCATTGTACCTTAAATATACATACTGCTTCTAAAAATGTGACTAATATAGTTTTAAATGCAAACAGTTACATTATCACCAGCCAATCCTTAATAAAAATTATAATTTTTAATGTTCTGAATTGTGTTTCTGTGTTTATCTCACTGCTATTTCAATAAAGATAGGTTTCGAAAACTGTTACTATTTTGATTACATATGAGAAGTCTAGACTTTTTTGGTAGAATATAACTTCTCACTTTTGCAAGTGAGAACATCATACTAAAAGTTATAAACTTACTTTTCCTTTTCCTCTTACATAATATTCCTGGTTTCCAGTCTTATCACTTGATTTATAATGTGTTTTCCTGAGGAAATTATGCTATTCCTTCACTCTATCCATTCTGTCTGTCCTTTCTAATAAATTTTGAACCTTTTGGCCCATTTCAGTCAAGTTTTTCTAAGTCTCGACTCTCTCAGTGATGCTAAGTTCCTATAAGCCTAACAAAAACAGATTGGAGAAAGAGTTCCTGTTACTGCCTCTGCTGCAGTGTGATTTCAGCCATTATTAGACTTCAGAGATTTCACATGGGAATCAACCTGAATTCATAAATCCATATGAAATCCATAAAGTCGTCCTGCTCACAGAATTGCAATCACAATATGTTCAGGGAAACAGACCTTTTCTTCAGCAGCAAAGAATGGGGTAAGATGTGAGAAATGCAGAAACTCAGCTGAAAACCATTAGGGCAGGACTTTAAGGTCACACTGTAGTTCAGAGCCAGCATTGGCACATATGCACATGTAAAGGTAATTTTTATAAATTCAAAGTCTGATTAAAGTGTTCAGTTTTGCAGTCATGCATCTCCATTGCAGTCCATAACGCCACACCTGATTTTCCTGATTTTTCACCTATAAAGTAGACATAAAGCTTTTTTCTTTTTTCCTTGCTCCCTTTTACAGATGATTTTTTCCTCTTTATCTTCTGTATTTGGCCATAACAGGCAGTTTGGGCTGTATTTACTTTGAAACTGAGCAAGAGTATTGCACACTATAACTTCTTGTGGGTCTTGACAGATTTACAATTTGGAACCCCATGTTTTTTAAACACCTTCTGAAAATACTTAATAGATTCTTTTCCCCATTTTAATTATTCCAGTGTTTTTCTAGTAGTGATTATTGTAGTTTGGCGTACCTCTAATTAGAGCAGGTTTAAAATTTTCAGAGACAATTCTTGCTTTAACCCTTAAATCTTGAACATTTTTTATTCAGCACTTCCCTACTGCAGTTGTGTGGTTTTAAGTTTCTTCTTTCTTAAGGAAAACACTTAAATATTTGTACTCATTCCTCTTCCCTTTCTTCAGTGACATCATCTATGCACCTGGATATAGTAAAGAACAGTTTTCACACTGCCATTTCTTTTGACGTAAGCCAATATCTACTGATCTCATTTTTCCAGAATTCCTTTGTATTTTTGTCCTCCCAATGAGAGCTTTTCCAGTTCTGCAGTAAAACTGAAAAACTTCACAGCTAATTATTGTCATTTCAATTATCAACAAAACAAATCTATTGACAGTCTTTCCAGCAGTGGGAGATCTATATTCTGGGCCTTTTTGCATTTATTTTCACTTTTCTTGGAACGTGTATGAGAATGGATGTCAAAAACGACAAGCCTGCTTGCAGGCTATATCTTTCATGTTTCAGGTGGTAGATGAGAATTTAATAGAACATAGTGATTCCCAAAGGTAAGAGTAATTATGGTTGGTCCTGTTGAGGAGGTTTGATATAACTACTTTGCCCTTTCCAGTTCCTGGCTTATATTGAGCTGCGGAGTGGAAAATGTAGCTGAATATTGATTATGGAAATATACCACCTATTTACATTTTTTCCACTACATTAAAAATTTAATGCTTAATTAAAACACAACAACAGCAACAAAGTGAATTTTCTATCTTTAAAATTCGATTTTCTATTGTAAGGTATTAATTATCTAATGACATATGTTACAGTGAACTGAAATAGATTGTTAATTAACTTCAAGACCTGTTTATTATCTCTGATTGTCCAGCTCTGTGTTTGTTTAAAATGGAGAAATTAATTCAAATTTAAAGTTCAAACCTAGAACTGGAATTCCTTCAAATTCAAAGTTCAAACCTAGAACTGGAATGTAATAGTAAGTTGAAGAAACTCAAAGAAATGCTAACACAAAAACTTTAATTATGACTTTTCTCTTTATTCCTCTGTCAGTTTATGCTATTCCACATTATCTCTACAGTAAGTTTGTAACATGTATATGAATTCTATTTGGCATTTCAACAAGACTTTTTCAGATTGTCTGTAAACTTCAATACCCTTCTTCCTAAAGTGATAAAATGGAATTTATTTGCATTGCAAACTCCATACAGTATTACTGAAGTTCCATTCAGATAGTTAACTTCATTTTGATCCAATTCTGATACTTTCATTGTTTGGTTTTTATTTTTTCACCATCCATGCCTACCAGATTCTTTCCTCTCTTCTCCCTCCCTGTTCTTAGTTATTCTCTCCCCAGCATGTCATTTAATTGAAATATTTATTGGAAATAAGTAATTAATGCAACATTATGTACATTAGCAATAGTATGGTTTAGTTATTATTGATCAAACATATGCTATGTAGTGTAAAACAAAGTACAGTTTCACTGAATATGTAGTTGTTTCATTACATTAAGATATCTTAAATAAGATGAGTAGCCAGTGTTATGATCTGCATTCTCTCTGATTCCCTTATGAAAAAAATGATTCTGTGTTTCTAGATTTAAGAAAACCCAGAAAGTGTTTTATTTTTTTTATTTTGCTTTTCCTACCTGTAATAGTACAGTTGTTTCTGTTCTTTAAATAAATACATATTCTTGAAATGTTCTTCAATTAAATTTATAAATTGGTTTGGTTGAAATCCAAGGCTGTGCTCCCTCCAGCTTTAGTGGGGCTAGGATTTCACAATTATATTTTCATAAAGGTGGAGAAAACTGCACAAATATTTATATTAATGTGCATTCAACTAGAACTTTTAGGCTTGAGTTCAAAAGGTCTGAATTAGCTCTGTAGAGAAGAGTCTGTTTTGTGTTTATGAATGGCAGCGCCAGAGGAAAATAACAAAAAAAATAATTATGAGGAGGGTATACCCTGTAAGTAGGTAGGGTACTTCTCATAATGCCATGTACAGTATCTGAGCAAGCTAATGTGCATTAACAAAAACCAGTATATTGATTTTAAACATGTTTTGGATTTAGCAAGTGGCCTCTCTTTAAGAGGAATACTCTTGAAAATTCTACAAAAACGAGTCACACAAGCACATACAAGTACGCTTCATGCAGTTACAGTTTGGCATTTGACCAACAAAGAATATATTAATTGAAAAACAGTCCTCCTCTTATACCTCACAAAGGCATAGCTATTTTTTTACTGTATGAGGCTATGCACTGAGCAAAGTTTCATCCTCTGTCTTGTCGACCTGCAGTAGAATGAGAGCAGCACTGGAATTGCCAAGCCATCAGTCCTGGCACACGGCTCTGAGCATTCAAAGGCAGCCTCTGTTCTGCACCTTCTCACTGAGCCAGTAAAATGCCCTCTGAGGAATTTTCACACCTCCTAACCAAATCTGAGCACACAGTTATGTTAAAGACTGGGGGAATAAACAAACAATAGGAGATTCCCAGAGCCATTACCAAGCAAATAAGTAATTCTAAAATGCAGTCCTCCTTATCCACTGAAGGTCAGATGTCTACTGCTGTGAAGTAACTTTTGCAGTGTTTCAGGGCTGTTTGGGGCAATAGAAAACCAAGAATTCAGCAGTGCTCATAATGACTTTCTGCTCACATCAAAAATGTCTTGGATTTCTCACTAGCATGAGGATTCTAGTGATGGTATGGGCCTCTTTGATGTGGAAAAATAGCTCATGGGGTCTACTGTACGTTATAGAGAAATAAGAAAAGTTGTGGTTATAGAAAAAATATTGATGCATTTTAAATAATACTTTTTCTAATAGGAAAGGTTACTTCCAAAATGTAGAGTATATGACTGCTATAAAGACTACATGATTCAAGGAAATATGGAAACTAAAGTCCAAAGTCAGACAGTTCTGCATGTTCAGTGCTTTCTCATTGCAGTGTGAGAAAGCAGACTTGCCAGATTCATTGGGATCTGAATGTGCATTCACCTGCTCTATCACTTCTGTTGTAGAAGCCTGGTTCTTACCAAGACATTAGCAGGGATATATCATTTTTGCCTCCAGAAGGCTGAGCTCAAAGTATTTATGTATGTG